ACAATTCATTAAATGGTAATACTTTAATTTGTACTCAATATGTGCAATCTAGTTAATGTGCCTAAATTTACATAATCTAAAAAATGACCAAGAACAAGGAAAGTTCTACGCGTTTTTGTTAATCATTTTTAAACGATTCAAAATTAATCTTACATACAGCAGTATAGTTATATAAACTTTATTCTATGAAATTAAAAACTAGATTTTAAGATAGGACGCCAATTTACGATGAGACAAACTCAATAATGAAGCAGATAGATCTATTTTCAAAACGATTATCGTTTAATAGATAATATGGAAGACAAAAATGCTGAGAACCACGCATTACCGTGCTGGTATTCCACGCCTCTATTGCATTTGTAATTCCCGCCGAGGAAGCTTCAGATGCAATCACTCGGCTTCTTCGGCTCGTTCTGGAAACCAAGTGTAAAGTCCCTGGCGGTGCTGGAGCTGGGTTAATCCAGTTTTCAAGGTCGAGTCCTTCTGGCAGAGGGACGCGACGCTGCGCCTTGGCTGCAACGGGATTAAGCTCACCAGCGAAAAGACTTGCCAATTCGTTTACAAGAGGCAAAAATAGCTGGCGAGCCAGTTGAGTGGCCGGTTGCGGACAAGCTGAGGGCAGCGCACAATCAATGGTAGCTTTGTGAGTTCCATTGTCAAGAGGCAATCCGGAAGGCTTATTTTCAGGACAAGGCTGACTAAGATTCCCAGAATCAAGAGCTTCAATATCGGTTTGAACAATCGGCTCTAGACATATTTGAGCAGGCTGTACTTGCCCAGTGTCGTCAGTCTGATCTTTATCCATACCACATAGTGTCCTTTCTTGACTAGCTACTTTGCCGCTAGTATTGCTATGGCAGGGGCTAAGACTTTCAGGAGAACAGGCTTTCAATGAGGCTGATTCATTCTCAGGGGTCAAAGAGGAATTATGTGATAGCAATATACGACTGTTGGGGGCTAGAGCTGAGGGAGCTTTTGACGGTTGAGTAAATTCGACGAATGTGCTGGTGAGAGTATTTGGGCCGTTACTTGTCAAAGCACTGAGCTGAAGTCGAAGTTTGGTTACTCGTTTCGCAAAAAGACAGAGAAGCTGGTGGATGGAGACTGCCTTTTCAAATATGGAAAAAAGGAGAAAACTCGAATTTTTACATTTGTTTGCTAAGAAAGGATAAATGAATCTTGAATTGTAATAAACCTCGTGTATATAATAGTTCGTTATCGTCCAAAACTGACTCCAGTCTAACAAGCAGTAATTAGCATTACTTAAAGAGCTCATTATGGTGGCTCTTAAATTAAAGAATACATGGTAGTAGCAAGTGACA